CTATCTACATCTACTATCTACTACTGCTACTGCTACTGCTACTACTACTACTACTACCACTACTACTGCTGCTACTGCTGCTGTCACTGCTATGATTGTCATTATTGTTGCTACTGTTGTTTTCATGATTCTCTGTATGTTTCATATATTGGGTAAAATGGCAAAAAGCAAGGCAAACCAAGAACACGACCAATAACCCCAAACCCTAACCAGGACTTTCTCAATCTCCACAGCTCCAAAAGCTGGGGAGCCTGCTGCAGCTCGAGATAGTATCTCCTCGCACTCCTCCACGCTTTGGCCGCAGACCTGGCGCGTGACTGCTCCTCGGCTTCAGGGCCCTTTCCGTCACCACACAGTTAGGGTTTAGGGATGTTGGGGCTTTTTTTGCTTCATCTGAAAGTCCTGCACCTCGAATTCCCTTTCATAGATCTTCCTGGCCCCCCCAAACTTTCATCGGGTTCCCCCCACTCCTCCACCAAATCATATGAGACGCTTTCGGTGTTCAACATCGCACATCTCGCAAGGATATTCCAAAGGAAGGTCATCCCCTCCGAAATAGCATAATAATAATAATCATAAAATTAAGGGGCTTTGGGTTGAATGGTTCCCTGGCCATCCCAGCTCTGCGAGTGCATCCCCGAAGCTGCAGGCCCCAAAACGGAAAACCCTAAATCTCAACACCACAGCCCCCTTGTCCCAAGCAAGCCTCGCGGGAGCTGGACTTTGCCTGGTCAAGGTAAGCAGCATCAAACAGACGATGATCGTGATTGTTCGTGGTATTTGTATATCTCGGGCTTCGCGACTCTCCCTACGACAGTCCTGCTGCTACAGTACTGTCGCCTTTATTACGATTCGAGCATGCGAATCCGGTTTCTGATGCACTGAATTAGATGTGAGAACATTATCATAATATCGCCCACAATGTTTTGTTAGCAATGTTGCCGTGGTGTCTGCTTTTTTCGCATCCGTACTGAAAAGCCTACACCGAATAGATCCCTGAGAAAGGCCGTGCTCAACGCTAGTCGTCCGGGAAAGCGTGTCGACGTTCTTTCGTGACCCACTCGGGAACGGCACTGAAACTCAGTAGATCTCAGTAGTATGTTATGCTAATAGTAAAAAGTGACGTGAGAAGGGCCAGCTCTGCAGTTGCAAATGCTGTTCCTATGATGCTTCTGCGAGCAAATTCTGCGTGTATCATGCGCCACTTCACTCTGCTATGATGGTGATCACCGATCGTGGTCGCCGTCGTTGTCACCATGCCAGCAGCCGCGAGTGTTACTGCTTTGTGCATTGTTTTCGGGTTTACGCAGGGTACGAATTCACAGCAGATCCGATCCGAGAAGACTGGAATCTCGCCACCGGCAGCAGAAGCTGCACTCCTGATAGCATCCGGGCGAGCGAATCCCACACCTGGAACCCCAACCATACCGTCTACCGTCTACCTTCAGAGTGGAGTGCTGCATGCCAGGACCAACCAGGACACCAAGAAGGATAATATGCATTCTCAAGCGCGCCAGCATGACAAAACCTATCATGCAGCCATCAGCTCTCCCAACATCGGGCCACTGCCTCCTCCATCGAGCGATCGGCAGCAACGGAATAAACCTCAGGAGGGATGTGCAAAACAGTATCGTGGCAGCAGCGGCAGCTGACAGTCTGCGCGACTACCGACATCCGGCTGCTCAGCAGCCAAGGTGCCACGGATCCACCAGCAGCACACGCGAGCGAGGCGCTCGCAACGCCTGCGCCACGGAGCAGGAGAGTATCTCTCACCCTGCAACCGAACCAATTCGCCAACAATAGACCTTCGAGCTTCCAGCAGTGGGAAGGGTCGGAAGTAACAACAGCAGCTCCCAGAGTAGCAGTCGTTTCTTTCGCATTCGCAGATCGGAGCTGCCACGGCTCTCTTAAAATCTTACGTGCATCAGCGTAAGTCTACCTCGTCGTTTAAGCTTGCGCTCGCTTCGATCACTTCCGGGACTCCTTGTCTGCAGTATTCAGCATTATGTCAGAATGAGCGTGCTGTTCCAATCTCGTGCCCGTTTGGTGTTGCAGCCAAGATTTTGCAAGACCTCGCGCAAGAACTGAAGTTCAGCATAGCGACGAAGCCTTGAAACTTTACGATATTCCCGCGCCCTAACGCCCTAAAACCCCCTTTTAACTGTGCAGCGCTGGAGTTGCAAAACCTCTTCCGGTCCCGATAGCCCACCTGCTGAGGCTCCGATGATCCAAACCTCTGCAGGATTTCCAACAGCCACCTGAGGGTGAGGCTACAAGTATGTCTGTTTATTTGGGGATTTAGAAGTTTAGGGTTTAGGGAAGATTTGGGGTTAAAAGCGGGCTCATGAAACACTACGTATCAAGCCCTCAAGCCCCAAATCCCCCGACTACAATACGCCCCAGAACATGGAGCCGTGATTTCATACCGAACATTCAGTGCCCGAGCGCCGAAGGAAAGCCTGGAGACAGTAAGGCTAACACTCAGCAAGGGGAAGTCTCTCTGAAGCCATGGACGATCCTGTCGTCGTTGCAGTGAATATAGTGAATATACACCTCACCAGGTCTCCTTGGGAACTGCAAACTCTTCCTGCAACATCCTAAACCGTTTCCTCGGCCCCGAAGCAAATCGAAGAATTTCCAAAGCCCGCCGAGGCGTCGACGCAGGAGTACTTTAACCTGGTTGGAGGCGCTTGGGGCTCAGTTCGCAACTCGGAGAGACCTTTTCAAACTTCAGCGGTGATCATAGTAGTTCTGGCACTGCTGCTGGGCGTGAGTCGCGAATATGAGTTACTCGTCTGCATCAGAATCAGTCCCCAAAGACTCCGGTAATCTACCCTAGTCAAGGGATCTGCTTCAGGGTCCCCACCATGATTTTCAAGAAGGATTTTCCTAAATCCAGCGAATGCAGGGTGTTTGGGGACTGGGGCCCCCAATCCAGAGGCTGCGTGGCGACAGCCGTGGCCAGGGACGCGGCTGCCCGCGAATCGTCACTTCGATCTGCCGAAGACTCGCATTTTCGACCTGGTTGGTTGTCTTGTTTTGTTATCGGGGAATCCGGATTCTAGGAATTCCAGGGTTTAGAGGTGTCTTGTTGTCTGGCGTTGAGCGGCGCTTCTTTCCTTCAGCATCTGTCAGAGAGTCCATAAAGACCGAGTCTGTGATCAGCCCTTCAGCTCCTCGACACCTCATTTGCACCCAGAAGCCGTGAGCCCTACACCTGTTTGATCTCCACCAGAGCCGAAGAGAGACAGTCACGCGTGAATTACACTCAGCTTTTGTGTGCTTGTTCAGGATGTACACCAGCTGCGAAGCCGTCAATGCAAAACGCAGGGGAACTACAATAAGCACCGCTTGACCGCTTGACCCAACTCGCTGCGCTAAGGCTGATCATTCCTGTGGCTTCACAGCGCAAGCCAGCCGGCAAGCAATCAACAAAGGACTCACTTAAGGTTACTCTCGACAAACACACCATCACTACCTGCTGCCGCTGCTGCTGGAGGAAAAGTCTCTTAAACGGCCGGTAACAGCCAGAGCCCACGGCGGGACATCTCCATGAATCTGGGCTCCACCCAGCCAACCAGGAAAAATAATGGCCTTCCACACCCAGCCACGGAGACGCAAAATATGCACATTAATCGAAAAACTAGACTCAGGGCCCCTGAATTGGGAAAAGGCTACGATGTAGCGGCGAGGCCCTCCAGACCTCTCTGCCGTTAACGCGTCCTCCTCCTTCCTCAGCCGGTGTTCTGCATACCGGCGGCGATGGCCTGGATGGAGTGCATATATGCATATATAGGGTCTCAAAAAGCAAAAAAGCATGAGTACGACGAGAAGAGCTAGGTTGAAAAGAGACCAAGAAGACGCGCGGGGGCCTGGATGGAGATGATCATGGCGTCCCTCAGCTCCTTTGGCGGCTCCTCATCTTTGGCCTGGGCATCTCGGAGCCTCTGGAGCACCTCGGCCTGGATCACGTGGGAGATGTCGAGGAAAGGCCGGCGCATGGCGATGGACTGCTTCACAATGGGGTCCTTGGTGAGCAGCTTGTCGGCGCTCTTGACCTTGAGGACGTTGGTGATGGCTTGCTGAAGACCGTTGCGCAGATGCTGGGCCAAGTTCTTCAAGTCGTCCTCCTTCAAAGTCTTGGTCTCGTAGTGCTTGGCCAGGTCCGGCTGGGCCTTTCCGAGCTCGACGTCAATCAGGTCAAGCATGGATTGGAACATAGGCCACTCCTTGTACATCTGCTGCAGCAAGGGCAGCTTTCCAGCATCGATGTACTTCTGCAGAGCTAGGCCGTTGCCGAGCCAGACCGGCAAAAGCAATCGAGTCTGGGTCCAGGCAAAGATCCACGGAATGGCCCGGAGCGTGTCAATGCCTCCGAAGGCCCTGCGCTTGGCAGGGCGGCTTCCGATGTTCATCTGTCCGAGCTCGGAGGTGGGGGTGTAAGTGTGGAAGAAGCGGACAAAGATATCGTTCTCGCTCTTGAACACGGTCTTCTGGTACTCTTCCGCGGAGATGTCGGCCAGTTCCTGCATGGCTGCTCGGAACTCCGGGCTTGGGAGTGGCGGTGGGGTGAGGGTGTGCTTCAGCACAGCCGTGGAGTATCGCTCCAGCGTCCTTTCGGCCACCTCGGCGCTGGCAAAGTGCCGGCCAATGGTCTCACCTTGGATGGTCAGGCGCAGGTGGCCTCGCTCCAGGGAGCCTGCGGGCTGGGCCAGGAGGGTCAGGTGAGGAGGGCCACCTCCACGTCCGATGGAGCCACCGCGGCCATGGAAGAAGGTCACGTTGACGCCGTGCTTCTTGCCGACCTCCAGGATCTTCTCCATGGCCACGTGCAGCTCCCAGGTAGAGGCAAACTTTCCTGCATCCTTGACAGAGTCGGAGTAGCCCAGCATGACCTCCTGGCTGCCCTGAATGTGGTTCTTGTACCATGGCACGCTGAAAGCGGCGTCGATCACCTTGGGGGCATTGATCAAGTCATCGCGGGTCTCGAAGAGGGGGCTGACACGCATGAACTTCTTCATGCCTCCGATCTTCTGCAACAAGCACACAGCCAAGACATCCGAAGTAGCCCGGGACATGGAGATGCAGTAGGCGCCCAAGGCCTCGATGGGCAACTCAGAGATGGTCTTGTAGGTGGCCAAGACTTCCTTAACGATGTCGCTGCATTCGAGCTCCTCGGGCAAGAGAGGCCTCTTCGACTCAATCTCCTTCACGAGCCAATCGCATTTCTCTTGCTCGGACCAGGAAGTGTACTTCCCTAAGCCCAGGAACTCGGTGATCGCCTCCAAAGCCTCGGAGTGACGGTCACTTTCCTGGCGCACGTCCAAGCAAGCCATGCTGATGCCAAATGTGCGTACGCGGCGGATGAGATCCAAAAGTCGGCCGTTGGCCACGGCCTCATCGCCACTCTCCACCAAAGAGCGGTAGATAATCTCCAGTGGCCGAGCCAGCTCGTCCACGGAGGTGAGAACCTCCTTCTCGAAGTCTGGCTCCGGGTCGCTGCCCATGTACATGGCCTCCATCGTCTTCTTCGTTCGCCAGCAGCGCCTGCGCACGGCCATCAGAAGCCTTCGGTAGGGCTCGTCGGCAGCCACACCGGTGTGGAAGTTCCAGTGCACGCCACTGCGCTGGTCCGGGCGACAAACCTTGCCTCCGGGCACCGTCGGGGCCGACCACATGCTGCTTACAGCCTCGATCTCTCGCTGAAGCTCCTCACTGGTCTCTCCCGTCATGCTCAGCTCGTAGAGCAACTCATCCACCTCGCGGTAGTAGAGCTCCACGATGCGCCAGCGAAGCAGTGTCACCACTTGCTTGGTCGTGTGCCACGTCACATTGGGATTGCCATCACGATCTCCTCCCATCCAGCTGCTCATCTTCAGAATCGATGCACCGTAAGGAAGTTGAGGCTGGCCAATTCGCCTCAAGCAGCGGTCGATGCGGCGGTAGTACTCCGGCACCGCCTTCCAAACAGTGTCCTCGATGACCAGCATGCCATTGCGGGCCTCTCCCTCCGGAGTTGGCCTAGTGCGTCGCACCGTGTTCGTGCGCCAGCAACTCCACTGCACGGCCTTGATATCATCATCGAGGCCTTGCAGCTGTCCTGGTGTGAGCGAGTCTTTGCCGTCGTACCTTTGCAAGTAGTTCAGCATGTCCTCGTGCTTCTTCAGAGCACTTCGCCTTTGGGCTTCTGTGGGGTGCGCAGTCAAGACCAGCTCAATCTTCTGATTGGCCAGAGCCTCGCGGATCTTCTCGGGCTTCACACCTTCTGCCACCATCTTCTTCATGAGGAACTTCCAGGTGCGGTTGGCCATATCGCTCTGGTCGTCCTCATGCGAAACCACCGCTTTGGTTTCGCGGAGACGGTGGTGGGACTCTGCCAAGTCTGCCTGGAGCGACGTATCCATGAGAACGCGACCAGCAACCTGCAGCTCACTGGGCGTCATCTTGGCAACAAAGTCGGCGATCTTTTGGAAGACTGCTTGTCCCTTCAAGCCATACTCTTCAATCAAGTCAGTAAGGCCAAGGACGCTCCTCGGCAAAATAGTCGGGCCTTCGCTCTCACCGGCTGCATCACCGGTCCAAGCCGATCGGGGAGAGCCAACCCGCTCGCTGCCCTGCTCATGCGCGCGGAGCACCGCCATCAGGTGCGAGCGCAGCATCTCAAAGTCCCGAAGCATGTCTGATGGGGATGCCATGGCAACGGAGCGATGGAGGGCAAGGTAGGGGGCACGGACAGTCAAATTGCTGGAGCCAAAACGGCTGCTTTTGGGCCTGCTTCACACGAACGCTCGCACAAGCCAAGCGAGGACAGGGCACACGGGGCCCACGTGAAGGTACGCATGTGTTGTCATTGAATCTTTCAGGGGGATTTATGACCTAAGCGTGATGTAAGAGAACAAAACGGAAGTCAACGAGGTCCCTCTAGAAAAGGGCGCTCTCCCAAGGCAAGAGCGAGAGAACCGCCAAGATGAGTTTGGACCCCTTTTCAAACCCTGGGGCTCCGGCTGCCAGTACTGTCTTGCAGGGGACGATCGCCTCAAGTTTCGAGGCTTCGGGCTTCATGGTGCCTAGGCCCCGCTCCACCGTAGTCGTCTCGTGTCGGGCCTTTGGCTACCCAAGGTCCCTCTGGAATTTAAATATAAATACAAAGACTTCGAGTCCCGACGCTGGGGACCTGACCTGCTGCAGCTTCTGAAACTCAGTGTTGTAAAAGGACATCGCAAAGAGCTCCCCGGACCTTGGAGATTATCCGCTGGAGACCGGGTGATGCCCACTGAATCTAATAAAGAGAGTGGGTGGGGGAAATAACTTGAGCTCAAGTGTACCACCGTCCATCTTGTCTCTATGCCGCATCTCATCCGACCGTCATCGGCATAGCCACTGCACTGTCAGAGCCTTCCCCCTGAAGCCCTTGATCTGAAGGGCCAAGCTCAAGATCCAGGTCCTGAGCACTGAATGCCGAGAAAAAATTGGGCCCCTAGCATGTCGCAGCAGATCGTGATGATCGGCACCTGGCCAGTGACGGGGGAACCCTGAACTCTACACCCGATTTACATGGCACCTCTCCGGTCTACCGTTGACACACAAGACTTATCAAATGCGAGCTGTCGCGGCTCACGCCTCCCCAGGCCTGTCAAGCAAAGTCACCACCTCGGCCGAGCTGCTCAAGCCACCGCTGTGTCGATCCCGTTTTGTCTGAATAAAGAAAAAACTAAATCCATCTGACTAGATGTGGCAACTATAGGGATCCCTCACACTTGATGATTACTTGCTCCGGCCCCGTTGTGTACTCCCTCTTCTTCCTCCCCCTCTCTTTCAAATCCCACAAGCGGACCGCGAACCCTGTGTCCTAAACCTTTTTCCTTCAAACTTCCATCAAACCCTGAGCTCCATCGCCAGGCCCGGCCGCCCCACTCAGCCCGCAGCACGGGCTGCTAGCGAGCCGGCCGCGCGCTTGCCTGCTTGCAAATCCTCAGTTCTCATCCACTTCCGACAAGGAAATGAAGACATTGAAAGGAAGATGGTCTATATTGGACAGACAGATAGATAGACAGGTGGCAAGATACATCGGCAGGTACATAAACAGCAAGACAGACAGACAGACAGACAGACAGACAGACAGACAGATACTAAGACAGACAGACGGGCGGAAAGATAGATCGATAAATAGATAGATAGATAAATCGATAAATACATACATAGCTGGATAGGCAAGTAAAACAACATAAATAGATAGATAGATAGATAAGTAGATGGATGATAGATCGATAAATAGATAGATAGGTAGGTAGATAGTAGCTAGACAAAGGATAGATAGACAGATAGATAAACAAATAAACAGCTAGCTAGATAGATAGGAAGACTGATAGATAAATAGAAATAGATAGATAAGTAGACGGGTAGGTGGAACAAAAATAAACAGATAGATAGATAAATGGATAGATAAGTAGATAGATAGATTGACAAACAGACAGATAGATAGATGGATAGATAGGTAGATCGACAGACAGATAGGTGGGTCGGTAGGTAGGTAGGTAGGTGGGTAAATAGATAGATAGATAGACAGATAGACAGATAGATAGATGGACAGGTAGAGCGATCAACAGACGGACGGACGGACGGCCGGACGGAGGGATGGATGGAGAGGTAGGTAGGACCAGGTAGGTAGATGATGATAGATCGTTCGATAGATGGACAGGCATGCTTACCAATTAAAAAACATAATGGTATCTAGATAAGTAGAAGTAGTAATGTCACGCTTTAGTTCTGGCTGTTCTCAGGGCTGTTCTCTGCCCAAGGTGGTGATTGCGACTCGCGGCAGCGCAACTTCAATATCAAGCACCCAGCCTTCGAAGGCAAACACACCTTTTTCGATACTCCGGGCTTGGTGAGCAGCTGGTCTTCTCTTCTCGGGATTTCCTCGGCACGGCACACTGCTGGGTCTAACACACTGCTGTGTCTGTTCAGCCCTTCTTTCGGCACCCGGGCTGCTGAGATGGCATGCACGGCAATGAAAGTCGGAAGCCAATGCGCCCACGTATCGATACATATTGATCCGAAGCACAAGCCCTTGTCCTCGCCTGGCTTGCTTCCCAGCAGCTAGTCTTCCAGCCGCAGAAGATGTCTTCTCCTGAGGTGCAAGCAATCATGGCAGGCTGATGCATTGAAGCGTGAAGCCCAGCAAACCGCAGACTCATGGAAGCCTCCTGGAGCCCAGGCCACCACCACGAGACCAAATTCATCAAAACATTGTCGAACAGGCCCCTGGCCTAGCCAAACCGTTTAGCGGGACAGAGTCGTTGCTCAAAAACAATCTGTGAAATTATGTGCTCAGCGACCGCAACTCTCCAATCCAACAGTGGCTTCCGCAATGCATTTTTGGAGACCTACACCAGGATGAGTTAGACATGGAAGGCAAGGTTCCACCCCAAAATTTTGGAATCTTGGAGGTTGTCGTCTGAACTCCCTCGTGGCAAGGGGCTGGCCATGGGAGGCTTGACCACGAAGATGGGCCGGCACTTCGGGATCACCAGGCCTCAAACAGCGCTCTTATAGAGGAGAACCCTAAACCGCGAGGCCTAATCCCTGCCCTTTTGACCCCAAACTTGCCCTAAACCTCCAAGAAAAGGCGTCGAAGAGCTGAGGTCGTCACAAGAAGGCCTCCTCCTCCGTGTCCAGATCGGGAATTCGCTCCAACCGCTGGCTGATCGCGTCACGTTGCACTTCAAGCGTCTTGACCTCCTGACTGCGCTGCTTGCGGGCATGTGCGGGCATTTAGCTTCAAAAAAAAGGGAATCCTTGACCAACTTCTGTGCTGGAGTGAGCCTTGGTCCTATATGGCTAACGAACCTTCGGGTCTGACCCATTCGAAGGCACGCAGGTACCCTACACCATAAACCAACGGCTCGTCAAGAAGTTGCAGCTAAGGTCGAGCAACCGTCCAGTGCACAGCATGCCAAGGCTTGAATGGTCTCCGAATACCAGTTTAGGACATACTATAGCAAATTCAGATCGCCTGCTCCTGCATTCGCCTTCGGAGCTGCACCAAACGCAGCTTGCCTGCAGCAGAAGCACAGCTGCGCGTCGGCTCCGCTACGGGTTTACACTCTCACAACTCGGACAATCCAGGCGAGGTTCATCAGGCGAGGTCGGTGTTCCGCTACGGGGTTCGACTCTCACACTCGCACCATGCTAGAGAGAGAGAGAGAGAGAGNNGACAGAGAGACAGAGACAGAGAGAGATAGCGAGAGACAGACAGAGGCCACCAGGAAAGGCCAAGATCAACACAGCTAATGCGTCATAAGAAAGAGCGGTCTCAAGCCTCTCTCACTTTGCAGGTTGAGTCATTGCTCAGCTGTTTCAAAACACATCGCGTACACAGTCATCGAGACGCAAGGTCTTGACAGCACGGTACCAACCACCACGCAAAGGGTTACCAATACCAGAATCTCAAGATAGGCGAAGTAAATGATAGTAACAGATGCGATAAGTAAGTGAAGGTTCTTCCTATGAAGGTTGCCAGTGGATCTAGAAACAGTGAGCTGGACACACAGAGATGTATGTATGTATGTATGTAT